TGACAGATGATCTCTTTTTTTAATGCTTAGCAGGCATGTTGTGAGGTAGAAATATCAATTTTACAGAAATGAAATTTTGACACAAAAAATTTCCATAAAAGAAAAAGCTGGGACTCCAATCCAGGTGCTCTTGAACATTACAATGGGCTTTTTATTCACATAAATTCACATAATCACAAAACTAATCGGGCTTTTTTGTTCTAAGCTACAAGATTTACAAGATATTTGTGGCTCTACATGATTGTCTAGCTTTAAATATGAAAAAGAGCTTGAGGCTTAGAAGGGGTTCTCAAAGTGTGGTCTTTAGGCCAGCAGCATCAGCATTACTGGGAACTTTTTTTTTTTTTTTTTTTGACAGAGAGACAGCGAGAGAGGGAGAAGCAGGCTTCCCGCAGAGCAGGGAGCCCCATGCGGGGCTCGATCCCAGGACCCTGGGATCACGACCTGAGCTGAAGGCAGATGCTTAACCGACTGAGCCACCCAGGAGCCCCTACTAGGAACTTTTTAAAAATGCAAATTCTCACGCCCTGCCCCAAGACCTGATAAATCAGAAACTCTGGAAGTGGGGACACAAATCTGTTGGGCTTTTTTTTTTTTTTTAAGTATAGTTGATATACAATATTATAGTAGTTTCAAGTATGCAACATAGTGATTCAACACTCATATCCATTACAAAATAATCACCACAATAAGTCTAATTACCATCTGTTACCATACAAATTATTACAATATTATCAACTTTCTTCTCTTTGCTGTACTTTACATCCCTGTCACTTATTTATTTTATAACTGAAAGTTTGTACCTCTTCATCCCCTTCACCCATTTCAGCCATTCTCCCACCCCCCTCCCCTCTGGCAAGCACCAGTTTGTTCTCTGCATTTTGGAGTAGGTTTTCTGTTTTGTTTTGTTTTTTAGATTCCACATATGAGTGAAATCATATAGTGTCTTTCTTTCTCTGTCTGACCTGACTTAAGTCACTTAGCATAATACCCTCTAGGTCTATCCATGTTATGGCAAATGGCAAGATTTCATTCTTTTTTTATGGTGGAGCAATATTTCAGTGTGTGTGTGTGTGTGTGTGTGTGTGTGTGTAATATATTCTTTGTTCATCTACTGATGGACACTTAGGTTACTTCCATATCTTGGCTATTGTGAACAATGCTGCAATAAACACAGGGGTGCATATATCTCTCCAAATTAGTGTTTTCTTTTTCTTTAGCAAATGTAGTAGAATCAGTATGGTAGTTCTATTTTTACTTTTTTGAGGAGCTTCCAACCTCCACACTGGCTGCATCAGTTTGCCTTTCCACCAACAGTGCACGAGGGTTCCCTTTTCCTCACATACTGATCTGTTTTAACTAGCCCTCCTGACGATGCTGATGTACAATCAGGTCTGAGCACCCCTGGACTTAAGTCATTAGACAAATATCTAAACCACTGTCTAATAATCTTTACACTATTTCCAAACAGGAAACTTACATGTTGAGCACTTTGAGGTTTCCAGGGCAACCTGACAGGGTAAATCTGTTTTGTGCTTTATACCCCTGTTTTCAGAAAAGTGGTGGATTAGCCCAATTGTGATTATGCTGGAACAGTAGGTCCCCATCCACTTGGAGATCCAGCCAGATTCCAATTTATCACAATTGCTTATGAACAAATGGCCACCTGGGAGCAGGCATCCTAACCAGGAAGGCCATCCCAGCTCAGCATTTGTCTTTGTCTGCGGGGATTTTCTTCCCCACCCTCATCCAAGTCCCTACTTTTTGTCTCACATTACAGTGGGTCTTGAGCAAGCCTTGCAGTGAAGGCACTGAAACAGAAGGAGGCAGAAGTGGGAACAACCATGAGACAGCCATTCCTCCCATGGAATCGCCCCCACCAACAACAGCCCTTGCCCCTGGCCCCGAGCATCCTCACACAGCTCCCTAGAGCCCTGTAAGGAAAAGAACAGAGGTTCATAGATCACACTTTCCTCAGAAAAACTGGAGGAATCTGATTTTAGTCCTACATGAGAGTTGTGGTTTATGCCTGCTATCTTGGCATATGTTATTAAAAATACATACATAAATAATAAATAATATTAATATAAAATATTCCCCAAATTATCCTGACTTAAACAATAAAATTCACCCTACCAAAAATCTACATTATCCCTTAGGGAGGCTTTTGCCTTTCCTGAATGCTTGTAAGTGAAAAAACCAAAAGATGTTTTGGAGGAACAGGAGAATGGGAGACTGTTCAGTACAGCTGGAGACCTTGAATGGGAGGGAAGAAGACAAAGGAGTGAATTCGTGGGGCTCCTTGGAGAGAAGAAAGATGATGCCTGGGAGTAGGCCCACAATTTCTGTCACTACGATAGTTCAAGGCCACTCCCAGAATTCATCTTCTGGAGCTTCCATCATGTTTACCCTCCTGCTCTGTCCTGTCAGAGCCCCCTTCATAGATCACTGAAACTTAAGACTTAAGCTAAAGTCCTAAGTCCAAATGTACTTAAGGCATATTTGGCTGTATGGCTGAGAAAATGGGGACTGTGTTGCTTTGTAAAGAAAATCTTTAAAAAGTATTCCAATCAGTATGAGGGTGTAACTAGGAACTCAAGCCTACGAACCACGTTTAAACTGAAAAGACCATGCCATCTGAAGTTATCTGCTGCACACAATATGTTCCAGTAACTTAAGGGCCCTAAGAAATAGTTTCCCTGCATATCCGCCCTTAGCAAGGATGCGTAAATGAAAGCAGCATTCCCCCGTGCTCCTCCAGCATACACATCAGTGCACTCTGACAATTGTGAGGCTGACTTAAATGATCATGTAAATCAGCAGTGATATGCAAGAATTTGTTTGCTTGCCCATACCGGACTGAATTGTGACTGTTTGTACTCCTCATCCTAAGACATGCCAATGGTATGTTACACTATCGGACATTCGGTTTTCCTTTCCCGTTCAGTCTGTGATAAAAGTTGATCAATAGTCAGCCTCATTTTCCCCACTTCCTGCCTAGATCAATAAACATTTCTCCTTTAAAGAAAGGAGAATGCACACAGAAGTTGATCCCATGGTTTTAACTTACCTCAACCTAAAAGAAAGAACCAATCACACACTTCGATGCCATTGATTTTGTTTCTTTGTGCTCTTGTGAATAAATAAATTACAGTGCTTCCACTTTCTAAGTAAACTTTTTATCATTGATTAGTCCTCAGGGTCTAATTGACTTACATTTACTAAAAGACCCAATATATTGATTTTCAGAATGTGTAAACTACAAAACCAGAAAATGATGTACATGGGTATAACTTTTAATAAGTATACAGACTATTAAATTATATATTCATTCCACTGTTACAGTTCCCCAAAGGAACTCCCAGGCTCAGACCTCTGCAACAGGCAATACATGAAAATACCACTAATTATATTTCCATTTTTGATAAAGTTTTAAAAAATTTGTTCTGTAGATGTTAGCTAGGATTGTTTATAAAAACAGCTGCTATTTTTATATGAGCTCTTGATGGTGTGCATTTAACTTACTACCTTCAACAACAGTGCAAGCATTTCCCACCCAATCATAGTGTGGTATGTGCTTGCTTATCTCCCAAAGTTTACTCCACTGGTTTAACTGACACTGGACTTCCCACCCCACTCCCAGCCTTGACAAAAACGAGAAAGAGGAAGCAACTTTGCCTGACACTTTCCGAGCAAGAAAATTAGTGAATGAAATGGGCCTTTCTGGGTTTATGTTTACAGTTCTCCCCCCAAAAAACGTTGAAAGATTAATCCAATACTTTTACTTTGTCAGTAGCCACAAATCTTAATATGTATTAATATACTACCAATATGATAATAAAATAATTAGTAACAATGAAGTAGAGTGACCATATTTATAAAACACGTGCAGAGGGGCGCCTGGGTGGCTCAATTGGTTAAGCGTCCAACTCTTGATTTCGGCTCAGGTCATCATCTCAGGGTCCTGAGACCAATCCCTGCATCAGGCTCCAGACCCCACCTTCAGATTCTCTCTCTCTCCCCTCCCTCTGTCCTTCCGCCACTCCCCCCCCCAGCTCCCATGCTCTAAAAAATAAAAATAAAATAAAATAAAATATGTTCAGAAATGCTTCTTATTCAAAATGTATGCTTTCAATACCTAAGCTTACATCCTTCTATTAGAAAAGGAAAAAAAAATTTAAAGTTTATAAAAAATAACTAACTGCCTTTTAAATGATATTAGACACACAGTCACCTAGAGATGTTAGCACAATCTTATTTTTCTAACTCTTGCGATTGAAATTTAGCCAGTGGTCAACTTGGGAAAGTTAACATTCAATGTGATATCGAAGATTGATAAGCAAGGGGTATTTATTTTAGTTTAGTTAAAAAATAGCTTAACCATCCAAAGGGATGAAAAGGGCTAGTTGATGTGCTTTATACAATACATAGGATTATGGTATGGCTTAGGGTAGTGCTTTTCACACTTTAGTGAGCATAAGAGTGACCTGAAATGGTTTTAAAATGCAGATTCATGACTTCCTTCCCGGAGATTCTAAACCAGTAAGTCTAAGATGAAGCTCCAGAATGTGCATATGTAACACCTAATCTCACCCTCAGGTTACTCCTATGAAATTACAATTCAGACCATTCTTTGAGAAACACCAACTTAAGATGACAAATGCAGGTTTTATTGCATCCAAAACCATAGAATTGTCAGATAAAATGCCAATCTTAGACCATCTTTCAGATACTTTATATTACTTGACTACAGTTATCAAGGTAGACAGCATTTAAAGGACTGCTCATAAGTTAAGGTTTAGTCATTCCAGGCACTCTTTTTCTCCTGTTGGTCATTAAAATTTGGCCTGTAGCTTTTAGATCTCGTTGATGTTTAAAGGTCAAGTAGGCTTGAAATTATTTTTTAACTTTTCTATCTTTAAAATTGCCATTTAATATTGTCTCATCTAAAAGCAAAAAGGCATCACAGTAATTATTGTCTGTTTCTCTTTGGTTTCCAGGGAAGACGAGGAAAAACAGGTCCTCCAGGAAAACCAGGCCCCCCAGGACCACCTGTGAGTAAACAGTAGGATGACTGTTCTTTAAGAGAGCCCCTCTTTCTTCCTGTGTATTTATCTACGGATTATTTTACTCCCCTGTGGCTAATTTCCATCTTTCTACTGTTTAAAATGGTTATACTCCTGGGATGCCTGGGTGGCTCAATCGGTTAAGCACTGGACTCTTAGTTGCAGCTCAGGTCATGATCTCATGGTCATGAGATTGAACCCCTTGTTGGGCTTCGTGCCAGTCATGGAGTCTGCTTGAGATTCTCTCTCTCCCTCCCCCGCTCCCCTTCCACCCACTCGCTTGATCTCTCTCTCTCTCTCAAATAAATAAATAAATCATTAAAAAATAAAAATAAAATAAAATGGTTATACTCCCTACACCTCCCACCACCACACAAACCACAAATTAAGGGAGGCTAGTAGCTGTCTGCACACCTCACCCACTTCTTTTTTACGTGGACAGGAACCACTGTACTGCCTACATGAGCACCCTAAGCCAAGTCTCCAAGTAGATGAATCCTGATCTGAACCCACCTGGCTCCATCGCCTTAGTTTCTTAATGTCCAGGCTGGTAGTAAATTAGATATCTGGAGAGGCATGTCCACTTTTCATGATATAACTGTTTTGTCAGTAGCATTGTGTGGAATGTTGTTGCTGACGAGAGCTATAAAGATCTTCTAGCCAATTAGCTCATATTTTTCTTTACCCCAATCCTCTAGAAAATGTATTCCTTTTCTTGTGGTTCTGTCAATCCTTCGACCCATCAGAGTCTGATTTGTGTCCAGGCTACTCTAATCGCACTGTTCTCTCTTTGGTCACCGGTAATCTCTGAGGCGTGCGATTCCCTGGGCTCCTATCAGGCTTCATCTGATTTCACTGCTATACAGGAATTTACAGAACTGCCTGCTCTCTCCTTGAAACCCCCAGTTCTCTTGGTGTAGTGACATTGATTTTTTTTTCTCCCATCTCTGGGGCCATCCTTTTTTGTCTCCATTAACAGTGTTCTCTCCTCTCCTATCTGTATGTTGCACGCATTAAACATTTCCAGTTTTTTGGGTTTTTTTAGTTCAATCCAGACGTTCCTCCTGTGTTCCAGGCTCGTACACTCCCACTTCCTGCTCACTGTCTCCACTTATAGGTCTCCTACACATTACAAAAGTAGCATGTTCCCAAACTAAACTCTAGAAATAATTCTAGATTTTTCTTTTTTCTCTCCCGCATTGTCCATATCCAAACAGCTCCTAAATCATGTCCGTTCTACCTCCGGATAGCTCACAAATTCATCTCCTCCTCTCTTTCCTCATTGCCACTGCCTTCATTTGGCCCTTGTCACTTTGTATCTGTATTAAGTAGCTGTCCCAGGGTGGGGCTCATTGCCTCTATCTTCTACGAGTGGAGTAATATCTCTCAATGATAATTCAGACTGTGTGACCCTTGGACTTGAAATTCTAATACCTTCCCTCTCCTTCAAGGTGGATTCTACATCTTCTGCGTGTCATTCTGGGCCCTTCTTAGTTGGCCCTTGACTTCTTTTTGCCCATCCTCCTCTAAGCCCTTCCTTTGTAACCTGTAGTGTCATCTTCCCTTACTGTCTCAAAAATGCCATGCTTTGTGCAGCCAGAGGCCCAAGGAAGCTCTCCTCTGTCCAGCACTCATCTCAACCTCAGCCTTCCTACATAGCCTTTATCAGTGCTCTCAGTGTGTGAGGTGTCATCGTCCGCGATCCTTGCCATCGTAGACCTCCTGCACCGCTGTAGCACAGGGCACGGTGCTTCATACTGTTATTTTCTTCACAGGTCAGCCTGCTACCCTGCAATTTTTTTGAACCTCTGTTTTATCACCATTGCCTAGCACGGTTTCTGTCATGTAGCATGTGATTATTAATTACTTAACGAACAAGTAAACAAATGAATATATTTTGTAGATACGAAAATGGAAACCAGAAAATAAGTGGCTTTCACCACCACTAGAGGTCTCCAGACCTAGCACCTTAGGAATTTCTTAGGATGCGGTAATGGGTGGATGTACCAAGTGATGAACAAGGTTGCTGTCCTGGCATTGATTTCATTTCATCCTCTTTCGCCATTCAAGTGAATTGTTCTATTGGTAATGTCCTGGCGTCAATGGATAGTGATTATAAAAGCAAGTGGGGAAAAAAGAGGCATAAATTGGGAGCCTGGAAGCAATTCTTTAAAGGAATTCGCTTCGTTGATTTTTATTCCAAATTTTCTGGCAAAACAGAGAACGCGTTCTAAGATTTGCAATAATTGTCTTGTGCTATAAAGAAGAAAAGCTGGTGAATGCAAACAGGCAAAATTAGACCTTCATGTAGCTTTCTAAACATATGATACTGCTTTTAAAACTGGATTAATTGTTGTCTCAAAGGAGGAATTTGAACGATGAAGGCTTTTGTGACAAGCCTGCCAAATGTCTAGGAAAGAAGATTACTCCAAGTCCTGGAATGAGTTCTCAACTATAGATCAACTAAGTTTACTGAAGAATTTAGAAGATTAAGAAGTATGCGATTCTATGAAAGAATTTATAATATTCAATTTCACCAGTTTTAGTTTATTGCCAGAGCATTTGGGGAAGAGAGGTACTTATTTTATTTCAAGTATTGGATTTAGAATTTCAACTCAGCTATGGGTCTGATACAGTGTTTGTTAAATCCTGAGTACACAGTATTTAAAAGTGGTTTATTATCTTTTGTGATATAACAAAATACTGATTGTTTTTTTAATTTTATTATGTTAATCACCATACACTACATCATTAGTTTTTGATGTAGTGTTCCATGATTCATTGTTTGAGTATAACACCCAATGCTCCATTCAATACGTGCCCTCTTTAATACCCATCACCAGGCTGACCCATCCCTCCACCCCCCTCCCCTCTAGAACCATCAGTTTGTTTCTCAGAGTCCATAGTCTCTCATGGTTTGTCTCCCCCTCCGATTTCCCCCCCTTCATTTTACCCTTCCTACTATCTTCTTCTTTTTTTTTAACATAAAATGTATTATTTGTTTCAAAGGTACAGGTCTGTGATTCAACAGTGTTTTTCTTCATAGGTCAGCTTTTATTTTAAAAGAAAAGATCTTAAATAGCTCATTTTCTGTTTAAGAATTGTGGTTTATGGAAATTCTTCATCTTTTTGATTCTGCAATAACTCCTCCAGTTGACTAAAATATCTTTTCTCTAATATAAGTATTATCAAAACTTTATGTTGGGGTATGGTTTTCATCCTGTTTTGGTTTTTTTTTAAGTTGTTCAGATGATAGGTTGAATGGATGACCTGCATACCAGCATGCTGCAAAAAATCTTGCGAGGCACCTACTCATACTTACAGGACTTAGCTAAGGGCAGCATTGCAAGGGAAGGCAAAATAATAGGCTCCCTACATTTTTCTATGCTATCTTCATGTTTAATTTTTCTGAACATAGTGTATTTTAGCAAGAGGACTGTTGTTTCTCAAATGGGTAGAAATAAACAGAGTTCTTTGAAAACAGTCCTTTTAAGATCATAGTAATTCATATCTTAAGAAAATGAACTTATAAGAACATCGACCTGCTCCTAATTTACACTGTTAAGTGATGTCACAAACATTTATTTAAGGCCTACCATGCACCTAATACTCTGTTAGGAGCGGGGCTTACAAAAATGAATAAGACATTGTCCTTGCCCTCTGGGAATTCAAGTTTAGTTTACAGAAGTGTGAACAAAGGAAGAGAATTAGAAGAGATAGTGGTTGAGATGGTTTCCTTCAGGGAATTGACAAACTGAAGCGTAAAAATTGAGCCTTAAAAAAGAAGGAATTCCTGCCAGTTACAACAGAACCTGGAAGACATTTTGCTAAGTGAAATAAACCAGTCACAGAAGGGCAAAGACTGCATGATTCCATTCATATAAGATCTCTACAATAGTGAAACTCAGAGAAGCAGAGAACACATTAGTGGTTGCCGGGTGCTAGGGGAAATGGGAGTTGTTATTCAATGGGTGTCAAGTTTCAGTGATGCAAGATGAAGACGTTCTAGAGATCTGCCGTACCACATCGTGCCTATAGAGTATCATGCACACTATCGTGCATTTTGAAGTTTGTTAAGAGTATAAATCTCATGTTAGGTGTTCTTACCACAAAACAAAACAAACACCTAAGAGACACAAGGAAACTCTGGTACCTATTGGATATGTCAATTACCTTGATTGTGATGAGAGTATCACAGATGTTTTCATAAGTCCAAACCCATCAAATTGTACACATTACATATGTTCAGTTGTTTGTATATCAATTATACCTCAATAAAACTGTTGAAAAAAAGAGTTTAAAAGGAGCTGTCCAGTAAAACAAATAGAGGGGAAGGAGAGAGCAAACTGAGTACTGCTGGTGGAGGAAAGCAGCCTGAGCGAATACAGAGTACTGATGTTGAGCCCTGCCAGGTCCTGGTGAACCTCACATGAAGCCCCATGAGGCAGGTGAAACTATAAAAATTCATGGAGAGTTCTAAATGGGGAGTCCCATGGCCAGATTTCATTGATAACATCCCTCTAGTGGCAGGCATGGCAGAGTTGGATTGTTGAGCTTAGGCATGATTCACAGTGGCTATCATAGTATTTCCTATTTTTTAAACTATCGGCAGAGCATTTTTTTATCTCTTTCAGATGTCCCATGGAGCTATTTGTCTTTTGTGACAATTTATATATAGCTTAGGAGATATCCCCATTTATTTATGGACATATTTAGATCAAAATGTTGTTGTTTTTCACTTATTTGTCTTTTTCAACATTGTACCCTAAGTGAAAGAAGCCTACTTCACAGGAGGAAAGGAGGTAACAAGAGAAAGAAGGAAAGATTGGTGAAGGCGAAAATCTTTCTAATTCAGATTTAGAGATGGTGTATGACTCACCCTAGTGGCTTGCATATGAGATTCCTAAAGCACATGTTAGAATTTCTTATGACAATATGAAATAATTTTAAAATATTAATTTTATCTCTCTTAACAAACAGTAATCGAGTAATATGTAATATCC